AACGTAACGGAATACGTTACAGAATACATTTTGGGGCATGTAATCTGTAATCTGTAATGGAATACATTTTAAAAGTAACCTTCCCAACACTGCCTGTTTAACACCCACATGTAAGTCATACCCTCTGCTCCTGCCTTTTCAGTGGTTCATTGTCAGCTTACTTATCCAGATTCACTCTCATCATATGCGGGAATATTTATCGCAGCAAACCCTGAGAAACAGGACTCGGAGACATTTCTTCAACCTGTGTAGGTTCTGTCATCCAGGTCATGGTCGTCTAAGGAGCTGGGAAGGAACACAAACACAAGCTAAACAACAGTGTGTGCTGTGTGGTGCAGCGAGTCCTCCTCAGACCTCGATATTGTAGCAACCAAACAGCCACACCATAAATGCACAACATAGAAGAGCCATGTCGACAGGACCAGTTCCTGCAGGATCCTGTGTTTACGTTTTCTTTTTAATTCACAAAAATCAAGTGTGAGTCAAACCAGTATAACTGCGTGCTTTATTGATATACAGTAAAGCATTTTATAATACAATAGTAAGGCATATATTTGGTGGAATCTGATATGTTGTGAAGTACGGATGTTATTTGAAAAATGATGAGACTGAAACAAACGTTAATTAAAAACCTGTCAAATCAAACTTAGTGCCAGAAACATCTCGGGGATAATGCTCGATGCCAAAACACGCATGCACATAATACTGCACCACTTTCACATACTTCTGAGTTGTTAAATATTAAATAATGATGAACTTCCTGTAGTCACACATGCTTTAATTGAAACACAACACACAGCACAAAATCAAACAACCTTTAACCAAAGGAAAAAACTTAATGTTTGCTAGAGTAAAATACTTCCTCCACATAGAAAAAGGTTTAGTATATCCCAGGTTTGACAGTAGTGCACAGGGATTAATGCAGGGATGCATGGATAGATGCATCTGGGCATTCAGGCTGGAGGCTCCTACAGTGCATTTACTGAACAGTATAGTTCTGACATGAATTAGCTAGCAATTTATTAATGCGAGGACTGAGAACAGAAACTGCCTCTGAAGATTCACACAAACTCAATTTAACCAGTCGTTAAACGTTCTTTCATAGTTCAAGAAACCCTCACAATCCAGCAGCCGTGTAACGCTGCAGTGCTCAGACTCTACTCTTACAGTACTGCTGAAGTCGGAAAGCTGTGTTAAAAATGAAATTCTCACGTTGCACGTGTCAGTGCAACAACCAAGATCGGTCCAATGTAGAGCTGAAGCTGAAAACTAGATAATACTAATATTCTGAAGATGTAGGATATAGGAAGTACTTATGGAGAAAGAGAGGGACACCATCAGATCTTCATCGCTGAAGAAATGCCTCTTGCACCAAACATCTTTCTCTGACTTCTCAGGTGATGCACTTTGACTTTACTGCTCTCATGCACATGTTTTCTTTGCATCTCCACGAGAGAAAGAGGCGAGGTTGCTTTTGCAGCGCAGTCCTCTCACATTCAGTCATTTAAATGACAGATCTGAACGAGGCCTTTGGGCAGTAAATAAGGTGAAAACTGAGAATAATAACAGGGATGAATGGATGGAAAGAACTCAAATAAAACACAAAGTTTGTCACCCAAAACCACACACACACACACACACACACACAAATATACAGAAAAAGAAGCACAATCGTGTTTCCCCAAAAGCTTGTTCAATGGCTAAAATGTCAATAAAATGAGAATTCAATTACTTGCAAATCATTTAAAATGTGTTTGATTTACTAAAGTGGAAAAACAACAAACCAAATGTTGAAACTAAGAATTTATTTTCTTCTTTAGGCTTTTATCTTTGACATAAGTC